CGCTCCGGCGTCCGCGGCTCCGCCGCTGCCATCTTAGATCCGGCCGGAAGTGACGTCGGCGGGGCGCCCGCCGCCCCGACACCGACCTGAAGTGGAGCTCGTGGCTCGCGACCCCTCGGGGCCCCGACGCGGCGTGACCCTGACGGGCTGTGTTGGCCTCACTGTCAGTCACTGGTTCACCTCGGACCCCAGAGCGTCACCCTCGGAGAGAAGCCCGCGTCGCCATTGCTGGGCCAGGCTGACCACGGAAGAGTTATGGCTGAGGGATTCATAGCTCCTCAGAGAAACCACCACCCTTCACATGGTCAGGGCTGCTGGGCATGGTGGCGCACACTTTAATGCCAAAATTCATTGAGGCAGAAGCAGGCAGACTTCTGTGAGTTCAAGGCCAGGCTGGTCTGCCTAGCAATATCCAGGACCACACCATGAGAAAGGGTCCACTGTGAAGGCCATTCATTATACCTGTCAGATAAATAGACCACTTAGGTTGTGTGCAATGGATCAGGGCAGCCACATGCACTAAAATGAAGCTCCAGCAAGGCAGGTGCAACTGGGTGGCTGTGTTCATCCTTACCAGGGGGCATTTGTCAGCCATGGGCCTAGGTCGATGCCAGGGAGCTGTGACAGCTCACATGGCCTTCGCCTTCCCCTTGGGAACTGAGTTGATGTTTACAGACAAGTTAGCAAATGGATGTCTGGACTGTGGTGATGTTTGATGGAAATAAACTGGGCTGAACTAGAGATCACTTCTGCCCATTTCCCAGAAAAGACGTCTGACAGGAACCCAGCTGCCTAGCAATCTGAAGTTGTGGAAGGATGCAGCCAGAGATGAAATATACAGGTGTCACATCTAACCTCTTCCTAACCTCTTTCTGCCTAGCTGTTTGGCCATTCAGCTTTTTGTTACACCAGCCACAGCAAATGCATCTTCACACAGTGTACAAATATCTCACCACACGGACAAGTTCATGGAATGTACACTTGGAATTTAGAAAACATGTCAATCAACATGGGTCTTGGGATACGCTTACTGTAGAGATGGGTGATGTAGCTGACCATCACTATTATTGACAAGTGAAGATAATGTCCCATGTCAAGGTCTTGAAAATGACTGGATCACCATAGAGACCATGGAAAAGGGCACTAAAACATCAAGGGTTTGCTTATTTCACTACTCAAGGAAGAGTTTGTAAACCTAAAAATTATGTGCATGCACATCACTAGAGTATATAGGATTATGATATGGGCCACCTCTGGACTTCTGCACTCTTTACTTGATCAATGCCTTACAACTTAACCCGTGCACCAAAATCATCTGAGATACCTGTGGGAGTAAAAGGGAGACCACCATCTTATCTACCACCAAACTGCCTCAGAAGTCATCATTTTAAAAGAAAACGTATTTGCCACTGCCAAAAGGAAGCTAGGGACTATCAAGCCAAAAGTGACATGGTGAAACCAGGGAGCGTCATTCCAGGAGAAGGCTGACAAAGAAGTCAGTGGCTATCCTTTCTGTCTTTAATCTAAAATTACATTATTTTTTCCTGGAGCTACTGTTTCAGATTTGATGTCTTAAAAAAATAGAAATTTAATCTTTTACAAATGGAGAGGCTGGTGTTCAAAATCAGTATCAGTAGGCCAAAGCTAACGTGTCAGCAGAACCATACTTCCTTTGAGGCCACTAGAGGAAACTGTTTCCTTCTTTCAGCTTCTGGTGACTGTCAACACTCCTTGGCTTGTGACCATGGCACCCAACACTTCAAGGCCAGCAACTTCATACTCTCTGTTCTGTGTTCGCATCACTTTCTCTTTTGTAGGTAGTCAGATTTCCCTCTGCTCTTTCTTTAAAAGAAGACGTACAGTTAGTTGCCCTGAGGATCCCCAGATAAGCCACAGTTAATCTCTTCGTTGTTTAGTCATAGGCACCGAAGTTCCGTACAAGGCAATGCTTGAAAATTCCCGGGATTTCGATGTAGTGTGATGTTAAAGGATGATTATTTAGCCTACCACACTGAGTATATCTTAGGTATTTCTAAATCAGCCATCATGCACTTTTGATTTGCATATTCTGTTTGGACATGTTTCAATTCTTTAACCTATGATACTTTTCAGACTGAATAATACTATTGAATCAAAAAAATGCTATCGAAAATGTAGCTTAATTTAAATAATGATGATTTCCTGTGTGGTATGTTAAGTCCTGTTGTCTTCCTCTTTGAAATGGTGAAATGTGTTGCCTATGAATAAGGGAAGGAATTGAGACACTTCCATCACAACTTGTAAAAACCTGAAGCGGTCCTGTAGCACCCATGCCACTGCAAGATGGTAAGCGAGCCAGGAACTGGGCTGGAGACCTAAAAACACATAGGCAGAGATACACAGAGAGAGAGACACGGACATGGGTCATCCTTGACACAAGAATGCCAATAATACCCACTTTATTGCGCTCAGAGGAAGCTTATATAAGGATTCTTAGCCATGTTCAGCTCTGGGGATCTTTCAGCTGCAGGCCTACCATCCTGCCATCAAGGTCTTGTGCTCAGAGCAGCTGCAGGCATAGGTGTTTTGCTCAGTTCACTTCAGCAGGCAAAGGGTCTAGGGCAGGCAAAGAAAGTCGGCGGGCCAGGGATCTACAGCTCCCAACAGCAACTCAGGTCTGTGTATTAGGAGATGGACGTGTGAGATGCACTCATGATCAAAATCTGCAACATGAATGAAACATCATGCCACGCAAGTCACCTGGCCCAACTCTGGTCAGTTTTTTACCTTGTGCATTAACACTGCAATGCTGCTCAGGGCTCATTCTTCAGGGCAGCATCTCAAAGACCAGAACAAGACCTAAACACAAAATAGATCGTTTTTATAAGGGGTTAAATGGCGTCTCCCTGACTCTCAACATGAATGGACTAAAGCAGCTATGTATTAGCCCAGACACTGTATATTTCTTTAAAGAGCATGTGGTTGTAATTAGAACCACGGCAATATTTACAGAGTTCCCCCTCCCAAAAGATTAAAACTTTTATAGCTAAGGTCAGAGAATTTAAACAACTCTTCAGTGACAGTGCAAGTGAACGTCAGACTCCCTGAATGCTGACAGCCCTTGTTCTCTGCTAGGTTCTGCTACTCTGCATGACTTATCTCATGCTCATCATAGCCAGGTGTGATGAGCTCATGGACAGCTGTGGGAACTAAGACCCACAGCGATGAAGAAATTGCCCAGCTACTAAAAGAGACCAAGGGGGCTGGAGAGATGGCTCAGTGGTTAAGAGCACTCACTGTTCTTCCAAAGGTCCTGAGTTCAATTCCCAGCACCCACATAGTAGCTCACAACTTTCTGATAGATGCTGTCATCTCATGTGCAGATATAATAAGTGTACATAAAGTATTCATCTACATAAATAAATCTAAGAAACGAGACCTGTTACACCCAATTCTGTGTTACCCTCTCGGTACAGTTTGCACGCCACTGTACCGTATGCGAGTCGGGCAAGGACCTGGAGATTGAAGGAACACACAAGAGACCTGGGTCATTTGAAAGGAGATCAGCCGAAGGCCATTTATTTAACCTTGGGAAAATCCTTATATACCTCACTGCTGTACAAGGATTTTCATCCAGGCAGGTGGGAAATTACCACACCAAAGATGGAGTAAACAATGCCCTACAGCTAATCACCAGGTGAGGCAGAGGGAGCACAGGAACAAACAGAATGTTTTAGCTGACTGACCAGAAACTGTCCTCAAGATGCACCCCAGGAGCAGGGGCAGACCCAGGTCCTACAGAGACCAAGTTTTTAACTTGGATGGTTTGACTCCGTAGGAACATCTCATCCATGGTGCCTGTACATGTGCATAGACACACACACTTGAGGGTTAGACCAACGGTCATTGTGTGATAACTTGTCATGGTGGCCAATCCAGCCACAGTTATCAGCTGTCATCATATTCAGAGAACCATGACTTGCAGTAAGTGGTAAAGGGAAGAGCATGTATATGTGTGCAGAAAGAGAGCTAGGCCTGACGACATAAGCCTGCCATCCTATCTGTTTGGGAGGCTGAAGCATGAGGATCCTGAGTTCAAGTGCATATTAGACTCCTGAGAAAGTACAAGGACAGACTGGACAATCTAGTGAGCCCCTACCTAGCAAGTCCAAGGTCCTAGGTTCAATCCCCAGTGTGGGAAAGAATGAAACAGAAGTCGCATAGAAAGATGGCGCACATCCTAAATATCCCCCCGAACTGTCAGGCAAGAAGAGCTCTGAAAAGATCAAAGGTGAAGTCACAGTAAGTAGCCCCAATAGTGAGGAACCTGCCTCATAACCTTGTTTGTTCAGATAATGCACTGTTCACCTTAAAAACAACAAAATGGAAACAAAACAAAGTCTCTTTTCTTATGATGACAAATTATTTTTCAACGGGAAGCAGTTTCTC